AATATGTGTTAATTGCATCAGCTAGAAGCCGACAACTATACAAAACGATCTAATCCACAAAGGTGATAGTTTAAGGAGATAAACTGGCAACAGACCAGAAAAAAGTAGATAAATGACACAATCAGTTGACAGGAAAAAGATGGGAAATTGTTAATTGTTTCGACAAATAAAATGCAAGAATCTTTAACAAAAATAATATCAAATCCTTATGGAGTGGACTTCTCTCCTGATACATCAAGTAGATAATTCCTAATGCTCTACACTATTTCTTAACTCCTACCATAATAGGTAGACAAGTTTTATGTGCATTATACAGAATTTGAAAAATAAACAGCACTAGTCCACGACTAATGAATAGTGCAGTTTGCTATAAATTTTATTTTATATTAATTGATAATGATAATCGATATATTGATTCAAAATAAATAATAAAAATTAAATCTAAAAATATGGAAGCATAATAAAGTGAGTGCAAAAACATGTTATAATACATGAGTGATTATCATCCATGTTGAGAGGGGGGGTTTGCAAATGGCCAAAGTTGATTTACATTTTTCCCAAAAATAAAATACAGAATAAAAATTGAGGGTAAAGAGTCATCAATGAAACTTTTAATGCAAACTCACATATATAATTCAATGCTAAAAGAAAGGGAAGGGAGAAATACAAATGAATGGCTAAAAGTGGGTGTTGATGCTAAGCACAAACCATTATGCCTTGGTTAGATAGATATTCATTGATGAGAACATGATTGATTGCTGATGGGAATAGTCCTGATCGTTCACATATTTTCTGGGTAAGGTTTGTTAACCACGGAGGCACTGCAAGAGAGACAGAGAGGCAGAACTTGTGATATCAGCAGGACATTAAGAAACAGTCGCACATTTTTAAGATTGCTTGTAGCAAAACATCCTATCTTATTCACTAGGAAGTTGGATGTGTAGAGTGATTTCTTCCTCTCTTCGAGAGATTAAGACAATTTCAAGAACAAAAAGAATAATGTCATGTAGATTAATGTAAACTTGTTTGCATTATCTTCACAGCTCAACAACACAACATTTTGCAGAAACGTACAAACCCATCATTATCTAGCGTTTATAAAGACAGCACAGTAGTGACAAGGCCAACATTAAAAAAAAAAAATCATAAAATATACTTCAAACAACTGAAACAATAACTGGTGAAAAACAACAAAATAAACTAAAAAAATATAACTATTGCAGGCGTACAAAAGTTTCCTATTAAGAACACACTAGTTGCACCAGGCACAATGACAAGGTTAAAAAGTTTCTCATTATTTCAACAAATGACAGGTCCAAGTGCTCAGTTTTCAGTGCTTGGAAATAAATATGTGCATGCATGTGTGTGTGAACAGGCAAGAAAGACTATCATACATGAAGCATACTAAGATTAAAAAAAGCACATGTTTCCACTTACAAGCTTGAGGTAGAAGCCCTTCTCATGTACTACCCACCTGCCAACAGACATAGATCAGAAAAGCAAATTGACATGAATAAGAATGAAAGCACAAAGTCTACGCCAACCTTGAGTAAATTCGAGAATTCAATCATTCCTGAACTAAAAGAACAAAGTAGTTCTGCTTAGGGACAACCCAAACCTGATGAGTTCCAATAAATTTCAATCCCTTAAGTCCATATACAGGAATTGTTAAATGGTAATAGGCTTGGGTGGTACTTATTTGAGACTTTTTAGGGTTTGGGTCCGGGACAGAGATGTTATATTACCAAACAATCCCTTACCTGTGTGTATACATGCATACCTATTAATTTAATTATTTCTCACAAATTACGTTTGACAACTATTTGTTTGAGATATGGATTGCCATTGATATATCCAAGAAAAGACATCTAGGAACGAGAATGGATCTAATTTGTTCGTGCAGGTCCAGATTTAGTTAATATGGTGTTTTATCCTGCACCCTACCCTACCCATGGTCATTCCTGAATCTATACTTAAGTATATTCTATACTGAAAGGAAAGCATACGTAGAATATGAAAAGTAAGCATACCCCAATTCTGTAGCCTTCTATTCTTCAATGACTTCCACTTTGACGGAGGAGCTGCATATATCTGGAACGAACAAGAAAAAAAAGTCGGAAAAAAAAACCACAAATCCGTAGAACTGCCAGAAACAGAGAGGAATGCTACATTATTGAGAAGAAAATTCTCTTCATTATCGGTGATGAAGTTGGGTATGTATAAAACAGTTGGCAGAGTGCCAACTCTGTAATCAAGAAATTTCTCATTTCCTTCCATCAGTCTGCAAAATCAGGGTTTTCATGTGAAATAACCCGCTCGAAATATTCAACAAAGCTTTGACGCGAGAGAGAGAGAGAGAGGAGAGAGAGAGAGAGATGAGTACAAAAATGAGCGTGAACCTAAGGGGCGCCGGAGATTGGGAACGACACGCTCAGGTAGTCGAACGGCGTCTGCAGCAAACGGATACTCAGCATGGCGAGTGGGGACTCCCGTTTCGGATCCGGATCCTCTGCCGTGGTTTTTTTAACAGTGGTGGGCCATGCATGCATTTTATCCAATGGTAAAAGGAGAAAGATACATGAAAAACGTCTCATTTGCAAAAATTTATATTTATTAAATTAAAATTTTTACGGAGATTTGTAATTTTTTTTATTTATTAAAATAAAAATTTACAAAAATTACAAATTTTTTATGATAATATGTTAATCACCAATTTAAATAGTACATATGCGATTAGATAGTTAAATTGAATATTATTTTTAATTTTTTTATAAATTAAATATTTAAATATATTCTTGACAGATATAATATTAAATTTTTTCATAAATTTTATAATTCTTTATTTGATAAATAAAATATAAAATGAATAATATCCTGACGCCTTCTGAAAAATACTTTTTTAAAAAAATTTATAATTTAAAAAACAAACATTCAAAGTAAATTTAAATAATTAATTTATAAAAAATATTAATATTTTAATATTAAATTTGGATAATATAAATTAAATGTAAATCGTCTAAATTGATGATAAAACAATTTTATTAAAAATATAAAATATGATTGTAAGCTTTGTAAATGAAAAGTTTTCTCATATATCTCTCTTCTTTTTTTTTTTCTTTTTAACCATTGAATAAAATGTATAATCATAATTGTCCACATTCCAACCATTACACAGAAAATCACTATACAAGAACCGGATGATTACAGTTAAGTCCAAAAATTAAACCGACAACAGTAAATTTGACAAAATTTTACATTGTTACTTATACATCATGTGTATTTTTCTTCTTTTTTTTCATTCTATTGCCCAGATCTTGCTGTGTGGATTATCATTACTAACAGAAATCTTGTAAATATTTTAAAAATATCTTTAATATATTTATTTAACACAACTGCATATTCAGAGACTCAAATTTGAGACTTATAATAAATTGGTTCAACTTGAACCAGGGGAGGTCATTGCCAAAACTAAAAAAAAAAATCATTTTATCTAGTAATTTTGACCTAGTTATAACCCAACCAACTTGTAACATCTTGATTTTTTTAGATAAAAAAAAACATTGTTGTGAAATTTAAATTTTTATTAAAAAAATGATGATAATAATAATAATTTATATTATTTGAGATTATTCAGAAATAATAATATGGTTAGACATTTAATTATAAATTAAAAACTTAGGTTTAAAATTACATAAAAAATATCTAGTTAAGATATAATTTTAAGATTTAAAATAAAAAAAATTTGTGTGAGTGTGAGAAAAAAAAAAGAAGGAAAGCAAAAAAAGAAAAGAAGGAGGTTAGTCCCATATCGATTAGATGTGGGAATGAAATGCACCTCCTCATGTATAAAAGGAGGAGGCATATCACGTAGGAAGTGTAAAGAAAATTTATGCAATTTGTGAAAATTACAACTAATGACTTAAGATGTAATTTGTGAAAATTATAAGTAATGGCCTAAAGATTTGAATAATTAAATTTAGACCTGTAGTTTTTTTTAATATAGTTGTGGGACCTAAAATCCTATTTTTATATTATTTTTCTCTCTTCCTCTCACGTTGCTCGCCGTCTTCTCGCAAGGGAGGATTATTTTCTTTTTGTTCAGATATGTTCCAATTTCCTGTTTAGATTAACATTTAAAAATTTATTTAATTACAAAATTAATTTTATAGTTATTTTTCTAAATAATATTAGCTTTCTAGTGATATGATTATTTTGTAGGATAGAGTAAATATTTTGATTAATATTTTTCTATAGGATAGTTAATCTAATGATATGATGGATTAAAAATATAGGTTAAAGCTCTTAGGAATATAATAAATATTATAGAATATTTTCTTAAGGTTGAAACTCATGTTTAAGAATTTTGAGTTAAAATCTAGATCTATATTGTTAAATTTATGTTGAATCTGAGATGTAGGGATGAACCTCTAATTATTAAATACTTATTTAAGTATGAATAGGTATTTTTGAGGTTATAGAAAGGTGATTTGAGGCCTCGGGATAATTTTAAAATTTTTAATTTATTTTTAAACGAATTTTTAAAATATAGATGGATGAAATTGTGATACTAGAAGTGATTTGAGGCTTAAAAATAGTTTATTAGGGTACGAGAATTTTAGAAAAAAAATTAAAAAGTTAAATAAGGCATAAATTTTAAATTAGTGTCAATATGAATTTTAGATCTAAGACTTTCTAACTCTTTAAATTAGAGTTATTTATTAATTTCAATGTAAAATTAATATATAGTTTTGTGAAATAATTATGTAGATTATATTGACAAAGATAGTGATGAAAAAGGAGTTGTGAAGGGGAACTTGCTATTCAAGACACAAGGTAACCATTATTAATGTATTGTGATGGGTGTGTTTGTGAATGGTTATGTGTTGTTTTATTGTTTGAAAAAATTATGAATTATTGAAAATAAATACTGTATATACTTGTTTGAAATTATTGACAAGTGGGTTAAAAATTTATTTTTATTTATCATGATGAGATATTATTGTTCTGATATATTTCTGTTTGGATATTTGAATGATGCATGACTTGTCAGGGTATTTTAATGTATGGTGTTAATGGGAATTTCTGTTCAGTTAATTGTCACCACGTGGTAAGCCCTTATTGGACCCAATGAGTAGTATGTCGCTTGGTTTAACTCACCTTTGGCCGGGTGATTTGGCGTCCGAATATGGCGAAAGGAGGATATAAGGTGCAATCATGCAATTAAATACTTGTTCGGTTTGTTTGAAAATATTGTTCGGTTAAATGTTTTGTGTACCCACTTAGCAATCGCATGATTAGTTACATCCGCATACATCATTACATATTAATTTTTGATTACTGGGACTTTTAAGTCTCATTTCCGTGGTTAACATTTTTACAGGAGTGAGTCCGGCCGAGAAAGCACCAGAGGCGTAACTTTGGTGTATGAGATATCATCTTTTACGTTGCCTCTCATTTTGTATTATGCAATGTATCTTGTGCCAACCTAGAACATTTCTTATTTTGACAACATGTAAACTCTAATCCTTTTTATTAAATGCATTTATATGACCAAGAGAATTATGTTTGTCCCTCTTGATTCATGACCTGATTTAAATATCATGCCATGAGAATCTTGTCTGTCCCTCATGGTTCTAATTACTTTTTGAGATATTTTAAAACCTGTGGTATATTGTCTTGGATGTACCATGGTAGAAATTTTCCTACCATGATAAGGGTATGATAAGGGTTAAATGAAAAAAAAATGATTTATTGAATTAATAATTTGCGCAAAATCGGTTTGTAAATTTGAGGGTGTTACACAACTCTTGAAATTTAACTTGTTGTAATTTGATCCATATAGTTTTACTCGATTGTAATACAGTTCCTAAATTTTAACTCTTACATCATGATCCTTATAGTTTTAACCATTTAAATATTAGTGCCTATATTTAAAAAAATAAAATTATAAAATTTAAAACTATTTAAAATTTTAATATTTACAATATTTATAACAGTTAATTTAAATTATTAGTCCTAAATTTTAACATAATTTTGATCTTTATAATTTTATTTTTTTAAAATATAAGAATTAATATTTTAAATGGTTAAACTATAACGATTGAATTACAAGAGTTAAAGTTGAGGAATTAAGTTACAACGAATTAAAATTTAAAGATTGAATTAAAATTATAAAGATTAAATAATTATTTTTTTTATATTGTGCATATATATATATATATATATATTATATTTATGTAATTGAAGACAATTATATTCAAAATAGACATTGATCCTTTGTTTGGAAATTTGTTTTCTTTATTTTTTTTTTAACTTTTCTCTCCCTTCAAATCATGTCTACTATGAGCACATCGTTGAATAAAAAGTTCAACCTTAATTGATCATGCTATGACTTGTGAGGAACTATTCCACCTCATTAGGTTTGAGCAGGCTAATGCTTCATCGTCAAAACTGTAAGGTGAAAGGGTGGGGGTGACACTATGGTCCACCCGGCCCAGCACAGTGAAATTATTGGGCTTCAGTTGGGCCTCGGTTACATGGGCATGGCTGGGCTGCCAATAACAGACAACACATCGATGGAATTCTGCTTGATCTTGGATTTGCCTTGATTAATGCCTACTCTTGTGTGGGTGTAATTGTTCTCTTTCCAAAGAGTTGTCCTTATTGAAGACTTTACCTTGGAACTTAGAAGGAGCTTTGGACTGGCTATGAATAAAGTGTTTTTTCCCCCTTTTGGCAACACAGGATAATAAAGTCTTCAAGTGAAGGTGATCGACTAAATGAAAACAAGAAAAAAAGATTTACATTAATACTCAAGACATAAATGAAGACATTGAGTAGCAAAAAAATTTTAATGATTTATTTGAATTAATAAAAATTTAAATTTAAGTTGAGTCTCTCATTGATGTAAATTCAAAGATTTAAACCTATGTCATTATAATTCTTTTATAATTTTCTTCCATTGATTAGTCTTGCCTATTTTATAATTATCTCCCGTTTTGTCCTTCCTTATTATAAAATGAAGAAAAAACATAACCATAAGTTTTTGCACTTTGCTTAAATTTTATTATAATTTTTTGCAATTTTTTTAGTATTCTAGGTCCCTATAACACCCCTCGACCTAGAACACCAAAAAATAAAAGTATAGGTATCTAAAATATCTAAAAAATACAGAGATCTATAATAAAACTTGAACAAGGTATAGGGACTCAAAATTATGTTTTCTCTCAAAATCAAGGTAAACTTATAACCATCAATCTTTTACTTTAACTTTGTGTCGTAACTCATTTTTTTTTATTTGAAAACTTTTATATTTTCAAATTTAAACCCATTAATTCAAACACCACAAAAATTTATTAGATTTATAATTCTTTC